AAATTCCCTGGGATGCTGTTTAGTGTTTACAGGACACGGGCAAAGGGGGAGACTGTTGAGTGGCATCATTTCCAGACTGTGATAGAACAGGCATCTCTGATTCATCAGAAAACCACCGTCACTGAGATCAGAATCCCCAAGGTCACCAGATATGACATCTTGCTTACCAGCTGCAAGCCGGCATAACATTTGCCTTGCCTGACTTGCAAAGCAGTTACTCAAGAAATATGTGTTAGGGTCAGCAGAGTGGCACGTTGGTTAAGAACTGGCTTGGGATGCCAGAGGGCCCCAGTTCGGATCCCACATATGAGGGCCAGTGACACTGCCCTCTGCAGCTAAGATGGTGAATGGCAGCTCGACCTGGGGCTGGGCTGCTATGGGACGCTGGCAACGGCGTAGGGTGCAGTCCCCTGCTGCAGTGAGCTGCCATAAGCTACCGTGTGTAGCCAGCAGCCGCAGTGAGCGGCTGTCCAGAGGCCGGCGACTGATCTGCCTCTCCCGGGAAGAGTGCAATGATGGTGCCAACTTGGGCCAGTGAAGCAACGTCCTCCACAACTAGACTGAAGAACAAAACAGCAACTTGTCTGTTCCCCTCCCCCAATTCCCCAATAAAATCTTTTAAAAAAAGAAATATGTGCTAAATAAATGAATTCCTTGGATAAACAGGTCTGACATCATCAAATCCTTGTTCCTTTGTTCCTCAGCCTGTCCAGATTCAAGGCAAACTGACTCCCACCTCCATTGGGCAGGACACTATTCCTTGGGTCGCAGCTTTGCTTATTATGTCGTTGTGTTTTATTCTCCCAGATGGAGGCACCTTGATGAATTGCAGGAAATACTCCATTCTCATCCATCGTATGTTTACACATATTCTAGCATGCCCCCCTGCCCGGCTTCCCATCCATATTCTATGTCACCGGCATTCCCCCTGCCCACTACCAACGTTAACAATGGCAATTAGTGCCCCACGGGTATTCTCTCTCTACTGCTGGCAGCACTGGCAGGTCTGCCCCTCTGCACAGAGGTCAGGAGCATAGTTTCCTCCGGAAAAGTGATGATCCTTTTGGCAGGTCTGTTATGGTGGTTTGTACTTTTGTTCCTCCCCTGCGTGAAATGGAGTGTTGCCCTAACAATTTCAGTTTGCAGGTCCTCAGACAAACAGGTGAATGGGATGACCAGGTCTGCTGGTTTCCCTCTGGACTCAGCTATTGTAGATTGCCCTCAAAGGAGAAAACCGTCCCCTCCGAGGTGAGGCAAAGGCACGGGACCAGAAGAAAAGCAGAGCCAGCCCACCTGTATGTAGAAGTTCAAGGGAGCACTTGCCCTGACTGGTCCTCTGTGAGCAGACTGGTTGGTGGCTGCTGGGTGAGACATGAGAGAAGGAAAAAGCCAGACATGTTGTCTAAGATGACCTTGGATGACCTTGGCAGCATTCATCTTGTTCCCTAACCTGGCTCCTTCTCATAACCCTCAGATAAGATGCCTTATCGGCTTTCCTCTCTTAAAGTTTTAAGAAATCAGTAGGGCAAGGATTCAAACTTCCAACCAAGAGCTGTTTTTCTCTCTTGCTCATCCCATGGGAATCCTAAGGCTTATCTCAGTAACTGTTTGCTTGGCTTGAAAAGTACCCCCCTGCCTTGTCCCCATCCCCTCAATCATTGGGTCTTCTTCCAACAAAACACTCTCACTGGCTATTTCCTTGAGAGGTGTCAGGAATGGCCAGGCTCCCATGCAGAGCCTGGCAGACAGACTCCTGTTCAGATTCCTCAAGTGAGTTTCACAAGGGGAGTCCTAGGTATTTGAGTCTTTTCTCCCTCTACTTACTCCCCTGTAATATTTCCACAAGTTCTAACCTGGCGTGCCTGTTCTTAGTGCCAGGATATGACAAATATTCAGATAAGCCGATGGAATTTAAAGCACAGGTCTGCTGCTTTGCTGGTGAAGAGTTCGGAGTGCACTTTATAATGTTAGGTGTGCCTTTCTCAAAAGTGCAGGAAAGTCGGCATCTAACATACCAAGCACTCAGGAGACGCTGAATTACCATCTGTGGAATGAATGAATGAATCCCATTGTAATGTACTGTGACAGCTTCGTTCCTAAAGGACTATTATAGTATGTATTTAATGTAAAGGACTTCTTACAGCTCTTAAAAATTTTTGTTTTCTAGCTTAAGGAGCTTAAAGTGAGGTTAACTTTTAATTTCAAGTTCAACCTTCATTTTTTGTTGTTGTTACTGTTTTAGGGTGTTTTTGGTTTTGTTTTGGTTTGGTTTGGGTTTTTTTCCAGCACTGTAAGGTAGCAAAAAGAACTTGGGTTACAGAGTTAGACCCATTTTTGAATCCCAGCTCCGGCATATTCTGAAGATAATAGCAGAATTTAAGGAGCTGGGATCACATGAGGTAACTGTGACACTCCTGGCATGTGGTGGAGAAGGGGACGGGAAGGCAGACGACTGGGCCAGACCATCCACGTGATGCCAGGGTTTGGGATCTTTATGTTTCTCGGGTATGGAGTTACTCATGGGCCACTGATTTCAGAGGCCAGAGAAAGAGACAAGGTCCAGCCGCATACCTCTGCTCAGCCGGGGTTCCTCCCTGTGTGCCATGTCCTGACTTAGCCTTCTCGTGCTTGGATACTTTTAAAAAATGAGCTTTTCTGTATTAAATGCTATTTTGGCTCTCACACACCCGTGTAATGGATAGGCCTCCCTCACGAAGGCTCTAACAGATCTGATCTTTATTAAATGCTTGATCAATGCCTTATGTGCTACACACAGTCTTAGCAACCGATGAAGATTTCAAGGCCTCCGAAACTGGCAAGCGTTTCGGGGAATCACAGGGAAGTTTGTTTGCCGCATGATTAATCCTGGGTGGATTGGTCCCGGAAAAGCACGCACTTGCGGGTTTGCAGCAAGCAGCAGCCTGCAGAATTTCACAAAACAAACGATCTAATGGAGAGGCCCGGAGGTATGTTTTGGATGGAAGTTCAGAGGGAAGGTGGGGCCTGACAATTGAGGAAAATGCCAGATGTGGGGACAACAGAGCGCCTTTGAGTCCACTCCCATCCAAAGAGACAACACATGGGACCCGGTTATAAAACTGAACCAGATTATAACCCTAGACGAGGGAAGCCCAGTCGGGGAGTGGGATCCTGTGAGAAGGATCATAAAATTCATCACCGTAATTACCTCCCCCTCCTCTCCCGCCCCCCCCCCAACAAGAGCCAACAATAGCTCAGCTCAATGAAGTTATTCATCCATATGCAAGTTGCCTCACTCATTATCCTCAGACAAAACCCCTCCTGGGCCTCAGCTCTTTGCCAGCAGGCCAGCAAATCAGTGTCCCCATACAGCCATGGCCCCCCACCCCCCACAGCCTAGGGGGCTTCCGTCTTTAGCAGTCGAGTTTCTAGTACCAAGGATGGCTATGTTTTCAGACAAGGTTTACCGCCAACCTTTTAGGAGTCCCTTTGACACTCAGGAACTGGCTTAAAGATAATTACAGCTAACCCTTCCCTGGGAGCAAACAGAGAATGCCGCCCAGCTGCCGTCTTTGCTCAGCAGGGCTGGGAGGCGTCTCGGTTTGGGGGGCCTCCCACACCTCGTCCTGGTGAGCACAAAATGGTGTCATGTGCACACTGTCTCGCCAAAAGGGAAATGTAACTGAAATGCAGAGCCGACTATATCACAATGGAAAGAGAAGTTCCAAAATAGGGCCACCACGAATAGCCCCGGGGCCCTTAGAGAGAGTAGCTCCTTCTCTCCAAAGCAGACATTATTACTATTCCCTGTATCTTTCCCTAGGGCTCGGGATTTTTTTTTTCTTTGTATGGAATTACAGAAGCCGAGGTTCCGTCCACACCTCCCTCAAGTCACTCCCTCCAAGGATTCCTCTACCAAGATATTCAGTTTGGAAAATGTAAGAGTTTACTTTTCAGAGCACAGCTCAACCAGCTCCAACTCCAAAGATCACGCGTTAGCTTCCAAGTCCTTCAGCCAATATTTAGTGAGCAACTATAATGCGCCGGGCGTTGCTTTGGCCCCAGGGATCAAGGCTAAGACACAGCTGTGTCCTTGGGAGCTTATATTCTACTGGGAAAACAGATAATAAAGTCCCAAGAAAAGAAATAAAATAATGACAAATGTTCACGGATGCCACCCACACAGCACGCTGGGCAGAAAGAGGCAAAGGGATGAGAAGAGGATGGGAGAGGAAAAGAGGGCAAGGGAACGGAAAGACGCAGATGACCGGGCAGGCATCCGATGACCCCAGCATCAGAGCCAATACATCTGAAATCTGAGGCGTCACCAACACTCATGCAGTAACTGAGATTGTTGGCCAAGCTCGACACACGGCCCCACACGGCCATCTTCCATTCCCTCGCGTTACTCAGGAACCGTCCACTTCAGTTCTTTCCACACACAGTACCCTCTCTAACAGGATACCCGGCCTGTTTCAGCCCATCCCTGTTGGTGGTGTCCTGAGCGTCCATCATGTGGGCGCACAGGGTGTAAGACCTGGCAGCCCCCAGAAGGAGACCATCGCTGCACAGGGGGACCCCTCTCCCCAACCCCAGCACTCCTGAATGTCCCTCCCCATTCCACGGACCCCATCTCTTCTGAGGCCACGGCATTCCTCCAATACATCCCTCCAATACGCGCCAGTGGGAAGCCTCCTTACTATTATCTGTCACTCTGTCTCTTGTGAGCTGAGCAGGGGACAGCAGGAGGTGGGCTGACAGGGAGGGAGGCCCCCTCTGCTCCCCATTCTTGCTGCCCGTGGGGCTCCGGGGCTACTCCACGCAATCCGCTCAGTTTTTTTTCTGTGGGACCTGGCACCGGCTAAGCCGCTGTCTCTCCTTCTCCTGGGCTCTCCAGACTCGCGTGCACTCACACTCCCCGCCCGCCCTCGGCTCTCCCAGGCAACCTCCGATCCCAGGCCCAGGCACTCCAGCAAGTCCCGGCTAGCTCGCCCCCACCAGCACCTCGCGCGGAGTCTTACCTCCTGCCACAAGCCAGAGCGATGCTCTTCCCAAAACCAACAGCAGAACTGGCACCTTCCACATCGTCTTCGTTCCCTTGTTCCCTTTGGGGTCGAGCCGCTTAGTTTTTGTGCTGCGGGAAAGAGGAAGAATCTGCAGCCACCGGCCCTCGCCTGGCAGAGCGCGAAAGTGGGGGCTGGAATGCAGGGAGCAAAAGTTCCAGCGCGGGTAGTGTCCCCAAGCTTCCCTTCGCCCGCGGCAGCTGGAGGAGCAAACTTTGCAGTTGGAAACTTTGGGAGCGGAGTCAGCATTTATCACTCCCGAGAAGGACGGGCGCGCTCCCGCTGTAAGGTGGTCTCAGCCGGGGCTCACTAGGACCGCCCTCTGCTCTGTTTGGCCAGCGCGAAAACGATGACCTCAGGCCAGGTTTAAAGTTACAGGGCTGCAGCTGTGGGGGCTGCCAGGACACGCCGAGGGCCCTGAGCGCTGGCAAAATTGGCTTTTACTCTGTTCCCCAACACGAAGGAAAGGGGGCGCATGCAGTAAGCGATTTTTTTTTTAAATTTGTTTTTAAACTTTGTTATTCTGTTTTTTTAAGCGCAAGGCTCAAGCCTAGGTTTTTTCTTGTTGTGAGAAGTAAACTGTTTGTTCCTTGTGCGGCCAGTAATTTTAGAACCAAGCATGGGATTGTTCTTGTAAACATTGAACTTGATGGCTTAAAAAAAGAGGGGGGAGGGCTCCTCATCTGGGTGGGCCAGAGGCTGCTGGTGCTGGTAAATTGCGCCCTTGTCCAGGGTGGACTGGAGCCGCCGGGCTCCCCAGTAGCTGCCTGAGAGACCTGGCAGAGAAATTGGCAGACGCTGTGGCTGTGGCAGTTTTGGAGCAAAGGCTGAGCTCAGGACTAGCCCTCCTGACTTTGGGTGCCGCGCTGCATTGCTGGGGCCCACGGATGATCACGGGCAGTCGGATGAGGTTTGCAGCCCAAGGACATCAGCAGACCCACCTGGTCCCCAAACCTGTATTCACCTCCGGTTTCAGCTCATTCTCTTTAATCCTGGAGCTTTGGCCCCATAGTCCCCACTCCACTGGTTTCAGCAACCTTGCCCTGATCTCAGGTACCCGATGCTAGCAACAAGCAGAGAACTTAGTTTGTACTTTATTTCCCTCTGAACTGTTGAAATTAAAAAAGAAAAAATATTTAAGAAGAGGAGTTGGGGAGGTGGCCTTGGACCCACTCCCAGATGCCACCAATTTTATTCAATAAGCAACCTGAAGACTAAAGTCCTAAGGCTCCACATGGGGGTGAAAATTGGTTGTTTTCAGATCTTTATCCTAGACTTGCTTATCCAAATTTACTTTCTCTTCAAAATTACCTAGGGAGGCTGCTTTAAGGGCTCAGTGTCCCTGGTGCCACCCCTATTCATTAACCAGACCCTTTGGGAATTCATATTTGAAGCCCGTGTCCCCAGAGAACTTGTCCACGGAGATGTTTAGTGTTGTTGAAGTGCAGGTGCAGCCTCTGTGGATCTGGAGGGGAGGGGAGAAGGTCCGCATTTCCAAAGATTCCCCCAGGTGATGCCTGTTCCTGGAGCTGACACCTGAGGTAAGGAGAGGAAGGGGCCGAGAGAGTCAGGGGCTGGAAAGGTAAAGAGAACACTGGAAATAGATCAAATCTGAACTGACTTGCCCATCTTGCAAATACGTTTTATTGTTATGACTGCATTTTCAGTGCAGGTATTGTCTGCTGAAACTCCTAGATGGAGAATAGATGCAAATCCACTCCAAAGTGAAGAAAGAAAAAAAAAAGACCACCTTCACTCGGAAATAGAAATGAAACGAAGCTAAGTGGGAGGACGGGCTAAGTGCCCCTAATTTAGAGGGTGCTTGGGGCTAGGTGATTATTGACAGAGAGGCCTCCTTTACCCTCTGCCCCGCCAGGGATGTGTCTAGATTCTACCAGGTTGATCACCTGACCTTCCGGGAGAGGATGGAGGAGGAGGTAACAGGGAATTGCATCCTGTTGGAGGCCATCCTGGGGACGGGGAGAGGGCCCAGGACCGGGGAGTCTAAGGACAGGGTCCTGGCGCTGTTGGTTTGAGTAACTGAGAAAAATGGCTAGGCCTACTGGGGGAACCTTCCTCAACAAGGCAAGCAGCAGAGGAGCGGGAGGGGACCCCGCTGGCCTCCGCACACCTGAGTAGCACACCTGAGTAACTCGGGGCAGGTAAAGAGGCAGCAGTGAATGTGTGGAATTCGGAAGCCTGTGACCAGCCCAGATGAGGGGGAAGACGGGAACAAATAGGGAACGCACCAGAAGATTCCTCCGTTCTTGTAAAACAACTTGTGCCCCTAAAGTGCTGACTGATTAGATAACAGTGACATTTACCCTGCACACCAGGAACTCCAGGAATCCGGCACTATCTCATTGAGCTCTCGAAACCACCCTGGGGTAAGAACGCCGATAATACTCATTTTATGACCAAGGACACCGGTTGCCAAAGCAAAGTGGTTTCCTGAGGAGTGTGCATGGATTTGCCTGGGTGGGGCCCAAGAAGTCGCATTTCTAACAAGTTTCTGGGGCCCCACTTTGAGAGGCACTGGGTTAGAGACCACACAAATCCTCTGGGAATGCGGGTGGGGTCTTCCAAAAAAAAAAAAACAAACAAACAACACGAGAGATGGAGCCACTGTCCCTCTACTGCAGGACTAGTGCTGTGTCCTGCTTAAGGAGCTGGAGGGAGAGGTCTGTAAGTTGCCTTTAGGGAGCAGGAGCCTCCGGCCCTGTCCCCAGGGGTTGGGGACCAGGTTGCAGAAGGAGAAGGAGCCCAGGCAGAGCATCGAGCGTGGGACCCTCCACGCTGAGGATGCTGGAGAGTGAATGAGGCTCTCTCATGTCCCCTGCGTTCTGGGAGCCGCGGGCCGAGCTGCCCCAGGCTGCCTGGGAAGATTTCTTAGCGTCTTCTCTGGCTTCCCAACACACCCTCCCTCAGAGCTGAGGTAGCACCTGATGGGGTCTCTGATGTCACGGGCACCTCTGTGACTCAGGAATAGATCTGCACTTGGAGGTACGAGCTGGGCCCGAAATGGGGTTCGCAGGAATGGAATGAGGCTGGGGGCAGGGAAGGAGGGTGGGGAGTGCCGCTGGGACTGAAGGAACCCAGAGCAGCTCGGTTTGCAGGGAAAAGTCTCAGTGTTTTGGAGTCAAAATCCAGCTCCCTGGTGGCCTTGGGCAACACAAGCCTCGGTTTCTGCTTCTTTAAAATGGGCATGTTATTCCTACAGCAAGGGGTGAGACTGCTGTGATTGCTATGATGACTAGGCCCTGCCTAGTCCTGCCTGGTTCTCAGCCTCTTGAGTCCTCAGGTGCCCACCTGTGCTCACCTGAACACTGGCCAGCCCCAGCCTCCAGGGCAGAGGCTCTTGACATGGACCCAATAAAACTGGTTCCTTTCGACCTTAGGAAACTCAGCTGGTCCCACACACAGGGGTTCAGCATCAACTCATCCTCTTGGCTAGTCCAACCCTCACCTTGGGCCTTATTCCTGAGAGGCCCCACCTGGGTCCTTGTCTCTCTCTCTGGGCTCAAGGTCCCCTCTGAGAATCAGATTATCTCCCAGTTCGACCCAGAAACTAGAGTTCTGTGCTGGGATCTGGAGGCTGGCTCCTGCAGTCATTGAGAGGATAGGGAACTAGATTAGAGTTCTGACTCACTGGGCTGCCAGGACACCCCATTGCTCTCCCCAATGCTGACTGACCCCTCCTATTGTCCGACTCAAACTGTCACATGCCCTGTTCCAATGGGCTGCACAGAGTTTCGCCTGCAGACCCTCAAAGAGTTTTGATAAACTAGGTACCAATTTTCGTCAAAGAGTTGAATAAGTAGATGTTTCACTACATGGAGGTAGAACATGTTCAACACTTCATAAAAAGAAATCAGATGAAGACAGACTGTAACTGGAAAATATATTTCATTGATGACTTGATAAATATTGGCTGAGCTTACATAAAAATTATAAAATTTTTATCTGTGAATTTCAGTTCATACATCTTGACTTTCTTTTGTTTGTTTTATGGATCTGGAAACCTTTCCAGTCACACTTAAAAGAGTCAGCATCACTAACAATCTTTTAAAAAATGATGTGCATTTATTCATTTTTCATTATAAAAATATACCTTTATTAAAGAAAATGTAGAAAACAGGAAAGTAGGGAAATGACCATTTGGACAGGTTACTTTGTGTGTTTGTTTACTATTTCTTTTGACATATTTGTAAATCTGCAGAAAAGTTCAAAGTGCAAGCATTTCCATATACCTTTTCTCCAGGTTCAGCAATCTGTTTGTATTTTGCCCCATTTTTTTCATCATTATCTCTCTATTGATATGCATTTGCATAGTGATCTTATTCTGAAACCCTTGAGAGTGGCGGAGATACTGTGCCCTCCAGCCTTAAATAGTTGGGTATGAATTTCCTGAGGATGGGGACATTCTCTTTGGCAGTCACAGTAGGAACTGTAAAATCACAACATTTAAGATTAAAACAACACTATTGTCTAATCCACACTCCATATTTAAATTTTGACAGTTTTCCCAGTGATGTCCTTTATCATTCTCCATCGCCACCCCCCCCCACCCCCGCCCAAAGAATCTAATCCAGGACCACACACTGCACTTGGCCTTCATGTCTCCAGAAGATACTGAAACTGTGCTTCAGCTGTTCTTTGTCCTCCTTGAACTTGATGCTTTTTGAAGGCTACGGGCCTTATGTTGTAAAACATCCCTCAGTGTAGGTTGTCTGCTCTTTGCTCATGATTAGATACAGGTATGCACTTCTGGCTGGATATTGTGATGCTGTGTTTTCTCAGTGAGTCCCCTGGGGAGGCCCAGGACATCAGTGCCCAGTGCTCATGAGTGTTAATTGGACCCCTTGGTTAAGGCGATCTTATCCTGAATTCAGAGCACCGGACTCGACCATGTTTGCAAAAAACGGTGAAAGACAATGTTTTGCAATATTTCACTCTGGGACGAAAGAGTTCCTTCACCCCAGAAAATGCTCCATCATAGGAACTTGTGATGGATAGGGAGCTGCCTTTCGTTCACAAATGGGAGAAAGCTTATTGGGAAGGTAATGCCTTCTCCCAGCAGTTTTAGAGGAAAACTTACTCAAGTTGAAGATCTGAGATGCGGATCCCTTGCCAACATGCCCCTAGGGAAATCTGTAGGCCCCCCCAGTTTGAAGTCCCCTGCCCAATCCCCCTGCCTGGCTGGACCTCCTCCCAGCATTAGGGCCCCCACACCCCATCCTTCTGTCATTAAAGGATTGAGCCCATGTACACCTGATACATTTATCTTTGTAGCCTCTGCCTCTGGTACGTGCTCTGTAAATATTTGTGAAAGGAGAGCTTGGGATTTTATCTGACCTGCTAGAAGATCCTCACCATGGAGGACCTCCCTGCCTCTACACGCCTCTCCCTTCCACTCCCCACCT